GTTTTCATTTCCTCTTTAACATCTCAGCGAGCCACTGGACTATTTTGGCTATGAATATTGGTGCACTGTTTGACTCCAAGGGCAGAGGCTGTCCAAACTTGGAATGATATCTCTTAACAGTAGTTTTGTCACCTCCTGTGCCTTTTTTCTTAAGGTGGGGAAAGCTTTTATCCACCCAAAAATGTGCAGACAAACACTAACATATATTAATCACCTCCCATCTGAGGCAGTTCAAGCACGTGTTTCCAGGAGGTGGCACCTATTTTTGAATGCCCTGGGGCCAGGTGAGCCCTTGTCTTAGGCTCTTTTGGGCACAGGTGAGGCATTCTTTATGAACAGGTTGGGTGATGACCATGAGCCATGGCACATAGAAACAATGTCTCAGTATTATCTCTGATGGTGTTTTTCTCATGCAAATCCCTTCATAGAATTGTCTTACAAAGCTGTGAGCCATCATTTCAGGGATTGTCAGACTTCCATCAGAAAATTTTCTTTCTCCCCTGATATAACTTCCAGATTCTTTGGCAAACTATGCCTTTTCTTTTGGAGAGTAATTTGCTTTCTCCAGGAGAGAAGGTTTCAGATTGAAGAGGATAGCTATGCGCCCCTCTTTTCTGGGGCTGTCATAATATCCCACTTTGTCTGCTGTTTAGTTTCCCCTGGCTTCGAATGTTTCAGTCCTCTGTTGGCCCCTATAATGTATAATGACCACTGTTAGGGGGCCCATACTGATTCCAGAAGCTGTAAAATCTCTTTTTTGTACTTTATCTTTTTGCCCAGCCTTCAGGATTTCTCTCTCTCTCTCTCTCTCTCTCTCTCTCTCTATATATATATATGAACAAATGAATATTTAGAGTCAGTAAAGATATTGATTTTTTGTCCTTTGCCAGCAAAAGAGCCCTTGTAAAAGGGCTCTGACTTCTGGGTTGAGGTTCTGGTAGGCAGAGGCTGATCCTCTACTGTAGAGTCTAAAGTTAGCATTGCATATTCTCTTTGTTAGACTCCTTCTAGCACAAAACTACTTTCATCTGTGAAGTATTCAACAACTGGGTCCCATAGAGAGTGGTCAGTGAGATGCCGCCACCTCAAGAACATTTCATCCACTGTTTTAATATAGTCATGTAGGGGGCTCCCAGTTTGACTGAGAGCAAAGTAGCTGCACTAAGGGTGATTGTTGTCTCTAGAGTTATGTAGGGATTTGCATAAAAGTCCCTGATAATTGAGTCATCCTTGCATTTGACAATCAGTGGTGCCCTCTCTGGGCCATTAACGTTGTAACTGCATGTGATCAGTTGTCCCAAAGTCAGCTTGTCAACCACTGCACCAGCAGGGCAGGGACCCCAAGAGCCCTACAGCATGGAGGCTACGCTAGGGTAACAGAGTGTAACTGTTTTGACAAGTATGTCACTGGGCAATGCCAGAATGCCATGACTTGAGTTAGGACCCCTCTGGCCATTTCCTGTTGTTTGTGGACATAAAAGAAGAAAAGTTTGGCTATATCTGGCAGTTATAAGGCAGAAGCCTGAGTTTTAGGGCCTGTTTGATTTATTTGATGCCTTTTTCTGGTCTGTTTTCCAGAGAAGGGGCTCCTCCCCACCCTTAGTGGCTTTGTATAGGGTCTTAGCCATAAGTGAAACGTTTGGGATCCAAATATGGCAGAATCTCATTGTCCCTAAAGACTTATCTGGTGTAGAGTAGTTGGGGTTGGAAGGGCATAGACAGCCCATTTCTGTTTTATGTCCAGTTTGCATTCTCCCTGTGTCATTATGAAGCCCAGATATTTGACCTTTTGTTGGCATATTTGTGTCTTTTTCTTAGATCTCTTACATCCAGCCTTCTAAAGTAGATGAAAGAGTTCCTGAGTTCTTTGATATCAGTCCTCACAAGCCAGAGCTGTTAGAATGAAGTCATGTACATATTGCAGCAGGGAACAGTTGTCCTCTGCTGTGATGAAAGATTTGAGGTCAGTAGATAGAACCTCCCTAAAGACCATAGGGAAGTTTTTAAATTCCTGGAGAAGCCTAGACCAAGTGAAGTATTCCTTTATGCTTATAACAATACCGTCCCATTGAAATGAAAAGATAGACTGACAGACTGGTGAAAGGCAGAGACAAAAAAAGCACCTTTTAAGTCCAAGCAAGTAAACCAAGCAGCACTTGGAATGAGTACCAATAAGGTATATGGATTTGGAACAGTGGGATAGATAGTCTCAGTGGCCTGATTTGCAGCATGTAAGTCCTGAACCTGTCTACATTCATTAGTCTCTGATTTACACACCTGCAAGAGAGGGGTGTTCTAAGATGATTAAGATCTAGCTAAGATTTGAGGTTCCAAAAGCCATTTAAAATGTCCTTGAATTCCTTGTATGGCTTCTCATGGGAGGGGAAATTAGGGGAATCAATCTCATGTCACCCTTGGCTTTAGTGTCACTATCACAAGTACTTGATTTATAGCCAGTCCAGGTGCGTTATCCTCTGCTACCCACAGCCTGGAAACTTCATGTGTCAGCCCATGTAGCTCATCTATATCTGGCCTTGTTACTTATCTGATTTCAGTCTCCATTCTTCTGCTCATTGATAGTGAGTGTTAATATCATAGTCCTTGTTCAAGCCAGGCTTAAAGTCACATTTCATTGTGGTCCAAATGTAATAATCTGGGCCTGTAATTTTTGGAGCAGGTCCCCTTCCAGTGGGGGAATTGGATAGTTTGAAAGATAAATAAATTCATGCTGGACCTCTCATCTCCCTATGACACACCTTTTTGGCTGGCATAATGTCCTATGTTCTGGGACTCTGGTGGCTCCTCTGGTAGGCACATTTTTCTTGGATAGTAGCCTAATGGTTTGCATCACTGCCAAGTGCTCAGCTCCACTATTTATCATAAAGTCCATGAATTGGCCCCTATTTCATCCTTCAAAAAGGCTGTACCCAGACAGGATGAGTCTGGCACGTGTCTTAATTGTTGTCAGTCCTTAGTTATTGCCCCATGTACAATGCCAAATTGTTTTTGTGAATGTTGCCCCTGGCCAGCTATCAGACACCAAAGAGGTACAATGTGTTTCATGAAAAGAGCCAGGGATTTAGCCCAGTGTCACAGCACCTGCCTGGCAAGTGTGAGGTCCTGAGTTCAATTAGTAATATCACTCCCATAAAAAAAAAAATTATTTCATAAACTGTTCCCCACCTCTGGGAGCTTAACTTTAGTCCCCTGTAGAGTCTTTTGTAAAGTTCTTCAACACATATTCTAGTGGGGTGGACTCCAATGGTGCCCTCCCATGTTTACCCTGTTGCAACATAAATCACTCTGTCAAGAGCTTTTGCTTCAGGTTCATGAGATCGTTTCCTCCTGGGAGTTTTTTAGATGGAACAATCTAAACTCCAGAAAACTAAGACCCACATATATATCTTTTGATAAATTACTTCTACAGCTTTCCTCTGGCATATGTACTCTTTCCAGTTTTGTCATTATCTATCCTTTTTATCTCTTTAGCATGACAAAATTTCTACCATATGGAATACTCTCACATCAAAATTATAACTCTTATACTTATACCTTCTTAATATTTTTCTTCATTCCACTTATTATAAACTTTCTATAACACCCAGTAAGAATGGCTATCATTAAGAAATCAACCAATAACAAATGCTGGCGAGGCTGTGGAGAAATAGGAACCCTTCTCCACTGCTGGTGGGAATGCAGACTGGTGAAACCACTGTGGAAATCACTTTGGAGATTCCTCTGAAAACTAGGTCTAGAGGTCCCATTCAACCCAGCTATCCCCCTGCTGGGTATTTTCCCGGAAGATCTAAAAACATCATATCACAGTGATGTATGTGCACCTATGTTCATAACAGCACAATTTGTAATTGCTAAAAAATGGAAGCAACCCAAATGTCTATCCACTGAGGATTGGATCAGAAAATTGTGGTACTTTTATATAATGGAAGATTACTCAGCTGTAAAGAAAGATAAACTTGAAGCTTTTATAGGTAAATGGTCACAACTAGAGACCATACTCATAAGTGAAATAAATCAAACCTGCATGTGCAAGCGCTGCATTGTCTCAGTAGTGTAAAACCTGAAAGAGTTAATTTAAACTAGGAGGTATGATAGACATTGTGAAATGATAGGAAAGCACTCAAGGGTAAAGGGCAACTGGGATGTGGGAAAAGAGAAGGGAAAGAAGGAGAAATTTTGTATGTATATATATATACAGGATAGTTAACATAGTTGTTCTACTCTCTTCTATTTCTTTGCTGAAAGAAACTATCAATGAGTCCTTGACTGATCGATATTGCATGTCTCTATCTGTTTTCATGAAAAACCACTTTGAAGATATCAGTATGTAATACAACAAGCATTCTTAATTTCCTACCACTTTGTACCTCTGTATTGTCTGTACTGTTCTTTTGCTATTTTTTTAAAGGTTGTCTGTCTGTTAATGTTTCCCTGCTTTTATTTTTAAAATAAAAAAAACTTTCTGTAACAAACTTGGCTGCAGCTTGTAGGATTTTAAAGTGTCATTTTCTCTCTTTTTTTCCCTCAAATTGTTACATTTTATATGTGACTAAGTGCAAACAGACCTGAGTGATCTTGAATCAGTGTTCCTCTTGTAGAGACCTAACAACACAGCCTTCTTGTAACCGCCTTATCGGCATGCCTCATGGCTCAAGGGCATGGCTGACATGGGACAGAAGCGAGGCTAGATAAGTTTCAGGTTCCTGGAGCTTATTTCTGATAAGTTTCTGTTTCCCTGAAGTGAGCCTTAAAATCCCCCCCCACCACCCAAGGGATCAAACCTGATTGGCCTATAGCCATCAAACCTGATTGGCCTATAACCAAACTCATGTTTTAACCAGTCATACAACGAGTGTAGCTCTTTAACCAACGCAATTGGCTTCTGTAACCCCGCTTGCTAATCCTTCCAGACCCTATATAACCCCTGCCCTGGAAGCCCCCGGGGTCGTTCTCCTGCGTGAGAAGCAGACCCTATGCTGGCATAGAAATAAAAAAACCCCTTGCTTTTGCATGAGAGACCGTCTCTTGGAGGTTCTTTCCATCCTGCCGTGAGAGCCAGACCTTACATTTGGTGCGTTGGCCGGGAAGTCTCCGGCGGTCAGGAGGGAGCCTCCAACGGCCGCAAGGTGCCTCTCGGGGTGAGTACGGCCGTTTAATTCTTTGTTCCCCTCTTTCTGCGTCTGTGTGTCTTCCTCCGTCGTAGGTCCGTTCCGTTCGGTGGGTGACGACCCACGTTAGTTGGAAGAAGCATAACTCGCTTTTTCTGTTTGTCTGAGGAGATCGAGGAGTAATTCCTCGGTGACTCCCGTTTGGCCCAGGTGGGCATTTGTTATAATTTGGAACGGACCAGTTTTGTCCTTTTTTTTTTTTTGTTTCTTTGTCCCTTTCGGTTTCGTTTCATTCCCTCCGCGCAGCGTCACCTAGTTTTTGCCTTTGCAGCATGGGACAAGGACCATCTGGCCCTCTGGATCTCACCCTGGCCTGCTGGCCGGAGGTTTGTGAACGGGCTCACAATCTCTCTCTAGCAGTAAAGAAGCCCAAGTGGATTGTATTTTGCAGGTCAGAGTGGCCCACTTTTCAGGTTGGACGGCCACCACAAGGCTCTTTCCAGCTCTCCCTGATTCAGGCGGTTAAAGATGTCATCTTCAGGACGGGACCTTCTGGACACCCGGACCAACAGGCCTACATCTTGGTGTGGCAAGACCTCTGTGAAAACCTTCCCCCTTGGGTAAAATCTTTCCTCCCCCAGGAGCCTCCCCCAAAATCCTATAAGGCTCTACCCCTCCATCCGACCGCCCCACCCGTCCTACCCGAGTCACAGGCTGATTTTATCCATTTGGACATGGACCCTCCACCCACCTATGCCCCTTCACCCCAGTCTCCCCCAGCCATTCCGAGTCCCTCTCCTCCACCCTCAACTCCTCAAGGGTCAGATGATGAGGGACCAGGCCCCGCAGGGAATACAAGGGGGGTTCAACAGAGGAGGGCACAGGGCCCACCCGAGGCAGCCGTAACTTTACCCCTACGACCCTTCGGAAACCCCGTCCCCGACGGGAACGGGGGGGGGGAGATGCCAAGCCTACAATATTGGCCCTTCTCCACGTCTGATCTCTATAACTGGAGGAATAATAATCCTCCCTTCTCTGAGGATCCCACTAAACTAACAGGTCTGATGGA